AAAGTTACCTACTTTTATCAAAAGACACATTCTTTAGCATACAGAAATGTTTTACTTACTACTTTAAGTACTTTTTATTAGAATCTAAAACCATTAGGTATCTTAATTTTTAGTGAACACTGAGAAGTAGGCTATTGTAAACTGTTAACACTAGCATTCTTAGATTGACAAATTTATGAATGCATTTTATAATTTCTGGAACCATGTGCTTTACAGCACAATTTTTCACTAAGCACAAAATGTGTCTACTTAGCAAAACTTTAAGGTTTTAGGTTACCACAAAGATTCTCAGGCTGTTTGTAGGTATATACACCGTAATACACTGTAACACACTATTATTAAGATGTTCACTTGCTACACTTATTTAGTTTACTCGTTCCTAACAACGATGCTAGATAATGCACAAAACTTTTACCAAACATTAGACAAAGTCAACCTCCTTTTAACCATTTTTTTCTTGAAAGATTTAACAGATAACATCAACTTTAATGACTTTAGGTAAACTAAGGCAGCTGATAACCATAAGGAAATGTCTGTTTCAATTCAACTTAAATTAGCATTAATGCTTAATATTTTCTATTAGAATTTTCTGAAAGTTTTAGAATGGCCAATTTTTCCACGCACTTGTCTTTAAATCTATTTTTATTAATACCATCCAGAGGTAGAAAAATTTCTTTAATTTATACATTTAGACACACCAACATACAGCTTGAGACATAATGACTACAGGTAGCAATACTGTTCATAAAAGAACACATACACAGACAAACTGATACAAAGATTTTTGAGTTACCAGTATCTAATTGCAAAATGATGTTGTAATTAAAGATCTCATTTAGGGCCATTTTTCCCTGCTTGGCAGTTTGTATTGAGGCCAAGTGGCATTATAGAAGGAAATCAGCTTCTTTCTTTTAGCTTATCTGATTAAAAGTATCTCAGTTTTTAAAATATACTCTTAGGGTGATCAGTTTACATAACTGGGTTAACACCTAGAGGTCCCCAGACTAACAGAGCCGATGAAGGCTCTGAACTGATGGGAACTGTGTGTGTCCAGGGGGCTGGAAATGAAATGCAAGTATGATTTTAGCACCAGTCATTTAAAGCCAGGCTGTACTGCAGAATATAAATTTTTTCTGTCTCAAGTAGTCTAGTTCAAAAACCTCCCAATTTTGAGGTTAATGATGAATGCAGTAAGTAGAATAGATTTCCACCAAAATAATTTAGAAAACTAGTTCCATAATATAGTAGTCCATGGGACTTTTGACCATTTCCCTTCCCTGTGGCAAAATAAATTTAGCTGCATAACATTATATTTTATACTTCTCTCAGGGGCCAAGCCTCTTCATTAGAGAGTTTGTATTGAGGCCAGGCTAGTGTGCAGAAGATAAGACTCTTCTTTTTCAGGGTCTGGGTATCAAATTGCTCACAGTTCTTTAGAATGCATGCCAGAGGCGTGTCCAGCTTTGGACTTGAAGAGGAAGCTCCCGTCCTGAAGAGAGACAGCTGTGCAATGCCTGGTCGGCCTTTCCTCTCTGAGGGCATCCCCTTGCCTTGCAGCCTGGGTGAGAGTGGTCAGTCACTTCCTCTGCTGGGCCTACTGGACTTAACCACTCCTTACCAGTGTGGCTTGTACCTTGCCTTGATTCCCCTCTTGCCTTCCCATTCAGCGAGAGTTGCTTCAGAGCCCTGGATCTCGTGGGAAACTCACCAGTATGCTCTTACTTTAAGCCTTCTGGGAGTCCTGATCAAGACCCTAGTTTCTCTGCATGGACTTTAGCAGAGTACACTCGGGATCATTCCTTGAGAGCCCCCTGCGTGTCTGATAAGTGCAGGGACTGTGTGACCTCTGGCTGTTTTGCTTCCCCGGGGCCACAGATATTTTTCCCTGCTTGGCAGTTTGTATTGAGGCCAAGTGGCATTATAGAAGGAAATCAGCTTCTTTCTTTTAGCTTATCTGATTAAAAGTATCTCAGTTTTTAAAATATACTCTTAGGGTGATCAGTTTACATAACTGGGTTAACACCTAGAGGTCCCCAGACTAACAGAGCCGATGAAGGCTCTGAACTGATGGGAACTGTGTGTGTCCAGGGGGCTGGAAATGAAATGCAAGTATGATTTTAGCACCAGTCATTTAAAGCCAGGCTGTACTGCAGAATATAAATTTTTTCTGTCTCAAGTAGTCTAGTTTAAAAACCTCCCAATTTTGAGGTTAATGATGAATGCAGTAAGTAGAATAGATTTCCACCAAAATAATTTAGAAAACTAGTTCCATAATATAGTAGTCCATGGGACTTTTGACCATTTCCCTTCCCTGTGGCAAAATAAATTTAGCTGCATAACATTATATTTTATACTTCTCTCAGGGGCCAAGCCTCTTCATTAGAGAGTTTGTATTGAGGCCAGGCTAGTGTGCAGAAGATAAGACTCTTCTTTTTCAGGGTCTGGGTATCAAATTGCTCACAGTTCTTTAGAATGCATGCCAGAGGCGTGTCCAGCTTTGGACTTGAAGAGGAAGCTCCCGTCCTGAAGAGAGACAGCTGTGCAATGCCTGGTCGGCCTTTCCTCTCTGAGGGCATCCCCTTGCCTTGCAGCCTGGGTGAGAGTGGTCAGTCACTTCCTCTGCTGGGCCTACTGGACTTAACCACTCCTTACCAGTGTGGCTTGTACCTTGCCTTGATTCCCCTCTTGCCTTCCCATTCAGCGAGAGTTGCTTCAGAGCCCTGGATCTCGTGGGAAACTCACCAGTATGCTCTTACTTTAAGCCTTCTGGGAGTCCTGATCAAGACCCTAGTTTCTCTGCATGGACTTTAGCAGAGTACACTCGGGATCATTCCTTGAGAGCCCCCTGCGTGTCTGATAAGTGCAGGGACTGTGTGACCTCTGGCTGTTTTGCTTCCCCGGGGCCACAGAAAAGAAAATGCCTAGCCTCAGGATGGCTGCCTCTAAGGAAGGGAGGTCAACAGAATAGAGCCATTTATTTGTTGGGCTCAGGTTTCAGTCTGACTACTTCACAGATTTCATTTACATTACGCAGGAGAAAGTGGTGCAGGCCTAAGAGGACTGCTTTGAATGAGGAGCAGGGGAACATTTTCCAAGGCCAGAGATAAAATTCAGAGGCTGCCACAGACATTTATGGGGGTGGGGGGTCTATACTCGTAAACACCAGTTTCTACCACTGCATGGTAATTATCCTGCTAGTCACTCATTGTAAAAAATCTGATCTGTGAGACAAGAGGTCAGGGGTCATCTGCAACTCTCACATAGGCAGCAGCCTAGCCGGGGGTTCACTCAGCGCCATCAAATGACTTGGCCCTAGGTGAGATCCAGGACCTCTGTCTACTAGCTGGTCTGCCCTCAGAGCCCACAGATTAGGACACGAAAGTAGAAAATAGGGGCAGCCACTCCCTGACATTCCTGTCCATCCAGAGGCAGGGGATCAAGGAGCAGCAGACACAGGGAAACCTTTCACCCGAGACTTAAGACTGGTAGCCAATACTAATCATCTTTTAAGTGGCTAATGGGTGCCCAGGCACATTTTATGAGATAAAAAGTGCAGCATTTAGTCAGGAATAAGAGTGAATCATGGATTTCCTACCTTACGTTGATGAGCATTGGGTTCCATGGAATTGAGAAAGTTAGAGGCACACATAGAGTGTGTAAAGGAAATAAAGAGCATCCTTGCCTCACCCAGAGGCCAGGGCAGCCTGAAGAGGCAGGCTGGAAGTCAGAGACAGAGAGAGACACTCCTCATGGATACCCAGTCAGGCTGTTGGGGTCTGATTCCAGACACGCGGACCTTTGAGGAGCCGCTGAAGTGTAGCCTCAGCCTAGACTCTCGCAGTTGCCCGCGGCTTTCCTCAGTCCCTCACGTCCAGGGAGATGCCTCTGAAAGGGAATTCTGGCCTCCACTCCGGTGACATTCCCAGCTCCCAAGGGAGATGGGGGATGCACTGAGGGAGATGCTGTGGAACCTCTCGTTTGAGACTTTGAGAACAGCAGCCGGGCTAGGCCCATTTAAGTGGCTGACAAGTGCCCGATGTGTGCCATGGACGGCTTCCTTCTATAAGGACAGTGAAAGAAAAAGGCAGCCTTGGATGCGGATACTCACCTCTGAAGTTATCCCGAATGAGCCCCCAAAGATGATGCCAGGGTTCTTGTTCATGGAGCCAAAGAATGAACTTTGCAAACACTCAAGGTAGGAGAGCAAGGTAGAGGCTTTTATTTAGAGATAAAGTGAAAGGACAGAGCGCTCCTGGCTCATGCCAGGAGGGGAAAAGAGATTCCGTGGTTCGCTCATTGTCTAGGGGTTTTATAGTCTGTTGAGGATTTTCAGGAATGAGGGTAAAGGGCTAGGGGTGCAAACTTGTAAGACTGCCTGCCCTGCCCCCAAGGTGGGCTTGGTGGTTATCTGTTTGCTTAGGTTGTTTATAGTTGAGATTGCTTACCAAATTAGTCTTTTGCCTAGGTTGCAGATTACTTGATTATGATTAGAGAAGGGAAAATAACACCTAGTTACAATTAACATAAACTGGGCCTTTTAGCAAGATAAGGTAAATTTTACATTGTCATGATGTAATTGATACAATAAAGTGACACTTTATGCTGAGATACTTTTCTTTATCTGCAGAACACTCAAATATTGCAGGCCAAGTTGCTCCTGGCCTTTTGAGCTTTATCTGATTTCACTGAAGAATGTCTATTTCCCTAGCCATGTATGCAAATATTTACTCTAGAGAATTAGTGACTTTGACTTTGCATAATGCTTAACACAGAGTTTTGATATGGACTTCATTGCATATTGTTACATTGTTCTGACTGTAATTATCTTGCATTGCCTTTTTTTTCTTGGAGGCCCTCACCCTACTCTGACTATACCCACGGTCCCTGTCTTAGTACTACTTCCCAATTCTTTGTGAGCCAGCTCTTTCAACAATGTCATTTCATCATTTTCCTGTGGGTTAGTTCTTAGGACATCAGAATAAATAGTTCCCATTTCCTACATATCTCAAAGGGGTGGGGCTCCCAAACCACTAAGAGAAGGAATTTAAAAGACTTTAAATACTGGGACCAGCTCACTCTAGTCAGCATAGACATCTGTCTTTCCAGCCAACATGAAGGCTCTCCTTATTCTGGGCTTTCTTCTCCTTTCTGTCACTGTCCATGGCAAGGTCTTTGAAAGGTGTGAGTTGGCCAGAAATATGAAAAGTCTTGGAATGGATGGCTTTAAGGGCGTCAGCCTGGCAAACTGTAAGTTAACTCTTCTTTCTCCATTCAATTAATTAGCCAGGTGTGGAACACAGACTTACAGAGGATGAATAAAGGAGGGGCTCTGAGTGAATGGACTTCTTAATTTTTTTTGAGGGTTTGTATACTACCTCATAAAACAGGTTAAAAACATCAACTTTTTCCTTTAGAATCAGATACACCAAATGAAGGAATGAGGAGGGCATGGGAGGATAAAATTCAATCCCATTCTATAAGCCAAGGCCCATCGTATCCCTCTAGTAACACTGCATTTGCCAGTTGCCTCAGACCCGTAGGCACATGTAGGCTGCCTAGAAGATACAGTTGAGCACCTGGGATAGCTGTAAAGTTCTGGGTACTGATTCTCTCCAATTCCTGTTTAGAAGGTGAATTCTGTGAGCCTAGAGTAATGCAGTATTTTTCTCTTTTTTAATTCCCCTGCCATGGCATGGAGGTTTTAACAGCAAAATCAACAACTAAAAAATTATGTTGAACTCTCAATACAGGGGCAATAAGAACCTACTTCCCCTCAATCACTGTTTAAATAAGGATCTCTGAAATGTAGCTTGAAATGATATTTTCTTTTCTTACTCCGGTTGATTAATTCTTCTTTCTTTTTTTCCATATAGTTCAAGATACTCCCTGAATAAAAGTTACCTTATATTTTAGTCTGTATATGTCAATGTAATGACTGTATTTGTCAAATTGAATTCAAATAATTCCCCTCAATGATTATTTTTGATTGACTGAGTGAAGGGATGGGTGGATGGATGGATGGATGGATGGGTGGATGAAATAGTCTTTCCTGTTCCATAGCCCTTGCTTTCCTGATTCCAACCTGATATCCAAATTCTCCTTGAGGTATCATAAGAAAATTGCTTTCTCCAGAAAATCCTTATTTTTCCTAATAAAAAGTATTTCCCATCAGCATAGGTATCTTTTATTAAGTACAAAAATCCACTCAACAACTCTGTTGATTCTTCTATTCTAGGATGAACCTTGCCTGAGGGATGGGAGCAGGGAAAGGATAGTAGCAATGAAAGAAAATAGCTATTTTAAAAACTGTTATCTTGCTTCATTAATATCACAAAATGATTTCCTAATAAAGAGATTATCCTAAGGGCCTTTTAACACTATTTACAAATAAAATACATCTTTATAGTTATAAGTAAGTCATTATTGAAATACAATAGCTAAATAGACTGATTATGATATGCAGTTTAAAGTCACGTGGTATTGCCATTCATCACTAAATATAACTTCTTTTCAGGGATGTGTTTGATGAAATGGGAAAGTAACTATAACACACGGGCTACAAACTACAATCCTGGAAGCAAAAGCACTGATTATGGGATATTTCAGATCAACAGCCGCTACTGGTGTGAGGATGGCAAAACCCCAGGATCAGTTAACGCCTGTCACATACCCTGCAGCGGTAAGGCCAGACAATATTTGTGTAATGGCATAAGCCTCATCTGGTTATACTTACAAGAATAGAGACTCTATACAAATGAAAAGTTCTCACCTCTTTATTATCCTCCTCATAATTCCCTAAGAAGTTGTAGAGCTGTTATAAAAGATTGTTCTTTTCTAATATACAACAGTTTTTGCAATGACCTATTAATTTATTGCAAACGAAGTTTTTGATGATTTGTCAAAAATAATGCCATTCCTCCCACCTACTTTGGGGAGGTTTAAGGATAATTTGAGGGTGCAGACCTTTTCAAAAAATTGTTTTTACTTTTTATTATGAAATAGTCTAAATAGATAGAAATTTGGAGACATTATTATAATAAACAGCCATATGCCCATCATGTACTTTAACAGTTAACATTTTGTCAATTCTTTTATGTGTGTCTATGTATATATACATATAAATATATATATGTATGTATTTTGTTTTTGCTGTGCAATTTTAAAGTGGATTAGAAACACGATAACATTTCATTTCTAAATTCTTTAGTTTGCATCTCGAAAAAAATACAGTTCTTATATAATCATTGTTATACCTAACAAGTTAATTTATGGATTTATTTAATTGGGATAAAACAAATATTCTATTGAACTTATAAAAATAGAAATAATGTAGATTTTTTTTAGTGTAAAATATTGGGGAAGTAGTGAAAAATTGATAGTTACATTTTTAAATGTTAAAATTCCCAATAGAGATTAGTCTTAGAATATTATTTTGTGTCCAGTTAATTTAATATAAAAATATTTTGTGTTTATAATAACTTAAGGTCTTCAAATAAAAATTGTTACTACCCAGACATTTATCACTATGGTGACCTTTGGTATATATTCTTCCAGCATATATATCGGTCATGTATATGAATATCAAGCTATATCATGTACATATGTACACACATACAAGCATGTAAGCCATGTATTAACAAAACTGAAATTGTACTGTATATACTGTTTTGCAATTTGTTCTTTATCACAGAATTATTTCTAATAATGGCACACATCCTAATAATACAAATCTGTATTATTTTTGAAGGATGAATAGAATTCCACTATATAAATATTCTATAATTTATTGATCTCTCATTGTTAAGCACTTAGGTTTTTTTCCATTTTCCCCCTTTATTAATTGCTATGAAATGCCTTGTGCATATACGTTTGGGAGCATTTCCTATTATTTATTTAGGATGAATTTCTGTAGTAGAATTACTGATTAAAAAATTGCTAGGCTGGTTGTTTTTTATGTACTTAGTATAAAGAGAACCTCCTATCACATTACTGATGTATTCCAAAACTTCCAATGACTTTGGTAAATGAAACAGAATCCTTTATTTCATGCCAAATGGGATGGAATGAAGAAAAGGGTTTTCCCTAACATTCACAGGAGTCTTAGAAAATAATTTTAATGTTCTTTCCTCAGCCTAAGAGTATAAAGCTGGCTTACTCTTAAACTTAAAAATGGTTATCCTAAGCTTGAAATGAAATTTCCATGAAAGTTGTCTTCATTCCTCACCACTTCTTTTTCAGCTTTGTTGAAAGATGACATCACTCAAGCCGTCACATGTGCAAAGAGGGTTGTCAGTGATCCACAAGGCATTAAAGCCTGGTATGTTGAAGCATTAAAAGGGAGAACTATTTAACCTTACTGTTATGAGAGAAGTAAGAAAATTTCAAAGACCAAAACATGTTACTGAGAGCTGAGAATTGCAGCTTAAGGCTTATGCCAACCAATGTATTACCTAGAAACAATCTACTTTAACTAATTTAGAATCTTGACTCTTGAACTCCTTGATTTATTTTATGGGACTTCTAGAGTTTTTAAGATTCTGAGTGCTCTACCAGTTCCGGGTCATGTCTTGAAATTATTTTGGGAATTATAAATGGGGAAGGCACTTTGCAGTTGCTGTTGTAGGATACACATAACTTAACATTCATGTTTGGAATTCCATGCTTGGGGACTTTGGGGAGATGTGAAGTACTTAGTTTACATATTTCCATTTAATAACTAGCAATGCCTGGATCTATTTGTAGCCTGTATTTCATTTACTGATAAAATATTTTGTCCCTCCAAAGGGTTGAAGTATGTACATTTAATGAAGATACAGTTTAACCTATTATTGTTTGACCTTTTTTTACAGGGTGGCATGGAGAAGTCATTGTCAAAACCAAGATGTCTCCGAATATGTCCGGAACTGTGGTGTTTAACTATGCAGTTCTCTTTCCTCAGCGTATTTTGTCTCTTTTTTCACATTGAATGAGTAGTTGAGTGAAAGTTCATACTACCATTCTTTCAAACAAAGGTTTTAGTCTTTCGAACAGGAACAAAATACGGTCTTTCTTTTATGAGGCTTACTATTTACTAATGTGTTTACTATTTGAAATTAAGCCCACATTTTTCAGTTTGCTAAAAGAAATAATGCTGGTGAAAATTTATCCAAAATTTCAGCTCTCAAATACATCTCCAGTGTACATTCAGTTATTAATCAAAGAAATAACCCAGGCCTAATCTTGAATGCTATAAGTACTCTAAAAATGTAACAAAAGATTATCTCAAAACAAGTTGGTCTTAGGCAAAATGCCAGCTGTATACACGTGACATCTTCAAGTATTCCATCATCTCCAAACATGGAAAAAAAACAAAAAAGCAAAAAACACGCTTTGTTGGAGAATATAAAATTTTTACAGGAGCTTAATGGCAAATGGCTAAAAATGGAGGTAGCCTGAATTAAGAATTTTGCTTTTATAAAGTGGGACCTTTGGTTTAAATGTTTCCTTAGAAATGTTGCTTTAGAAAGACATTCACATTTTACACATCAGTCTATTTTAGCCCTTTACGGCATTCTTTTATGCATCTTGCTGATCACAAAGGAATATAAAGGATTAGATGAACTCTTGCTGTTCTTTAATTTTACTAACTTAGATTCACACATTATGACTAAATCCTGAGGCAGATGGGTTTACAAGTATTGAAGTAATTCCTAATTAACCACCAGTGTGAAATTATGCATGTTGAAAAAAAATTATTAAATGCTTTGCAATGCATACCTTGTCTTTCTTTTTTAGACCTATCTAGTATCTCTGAACAGAACATATATATATGAATAAAAAAGATTTGACACTCTTAATATATCCTATATTTACATCTGTGCCTGAACAGCCACTGGATGTTGCTGGAGAAAAATCCACAAGCAGGCTGACAGTTCTCACTTTGAATTCACAACTGCAAATCTCAAATGAGCCATCAAATCTGTCTGGCCATTTTAGTCACTTCTCTACAATGCTTCTGTGGTGGTGTCCCCACTCCCCAAAATGACTATTACTGCTTTATTTCTCCTCTCTCTTCATAGCCCTGGCCCACACCCAACCCTGCCCTTCCACCCCTCTCTGTTCTCAGCAGATGAGCTGGCCCCAGTCTACCCTGAGAGAATAGAGGCCCCTCAGATGGTCTTCTCCCCTGCGGGCACCCACAGCAGTGGCCCCACCTTCCTCTGCTCCCTGCCCACCACAGTGCCTGCACACGCAGTCTCCTTCCTGTCCCTCTCACTCCTCCAAGTCAGCTCAGTGTTTCCTGCATCCCGAGTTTCTCCCTCTTCGCTGACCACCCCTGCCATTGTGTAAACTGCTCTGGTAACCTCCTGCCCTACAAAGAACCCTCCGTTAACACTACATAACCCTCCAACTGCATCGTTTTCTGCTCTCTTTTACAGCAAGACTTCTGGGATGAGAAAACGACACTGGTGTTAGATCGCTTGGGGCCAATTCTAGTGATCACCTGCTCTCTCTGTATCTTACTTGGTCTCTCAACAGCATTTGATAAATTGAACCACTTCATAGTTCTAGAAAACTTTTCCTCTACTAGCTTCTCGTTTACATCCTGACTCACTGCTCCTTCTCATTCCTTCTTGGATGGCTCTTCCTCTGTTACCTAACTTTTCTATTTGCTTCTCTGATGCTTACTTCTCTGCTGGGGGAGTGCTCCGACATTCAAGCCTACAGCCATTTGATAGACTACGTGTTTTACTTATTTGTCTCTTTTTGCTGAAATACAATGTCCAAAAGACCAGAGTTTTCCACCCATTTTTAAGATATTGAAATAATCACAATCTTTCCCAAATTTACAAGTACAGTACAAAGGCATTTCACGTTTTCTGAACAGTTTGAGAGTAAATTACCAGCAAGGTACCCAGTGGCTTTCAGTGTATAATTTTTACATAACCTCAAAACATCACCAAATCAGGACATTAACACTGATGCATCACAACTGCCTAGTCATCAGATCCCCTTTAATTTCATCAATTGTCTCCATAAGTCCTTCATGATAAAAGTTCTAATGCAGAATCGTGTGTTGTATTTGATTGTCATGTTTTGTTATTTTTTTTGTTTCCCTCAGTTTTGATCATTTCTTCAGTTTTTTTCCTCTGACTTTATGACTTTAACACTTTTGAAGGCCGCAGACCAGTCCCACTGTAAAATGTCCTAAGGTTTTGCTGATGTCCCCTTGATTAGATGAGGTTATGTATCTTTGGCAGAAATACCGCAGAAGTGACGCCGAGCTCCTCTCACTGCACCCTCCGGGGTGGTGTGCAGTTCGACATGTTCTGTCACTGATGATGTTCACTTTGGGCATTTTCTTAGAGCGATGTCTGCAAGTTGTCTTCCTGTGAAGTATTTGGGAGGGGTAAGGTACTTGAGACTATTCCTCATCAAAATTTCAATTTGTGCAATTTATTATATCACTACGGACCTATGGCTTCCTATTTTATTCAAATTAATTGAGTTATAACCCATTACTATCATTTATTTTGATGTTCACATTGTCCCTGATTTGACCAGTAGAACCTCTGCAAGCTAGCTTCTGTGTCACTGTGACATTTTGACAGCATTCTTTGAGCACTTTCTTGTTTTCTGTCACAAAATGTTCTAAGACTCCTTGTGTTCTCCCCCTGTTCAAAGCCTGGAATCAACCATTTGTCCAAAGAGCCCTACTCCTCATAGTGGATATTATCCACTGTGGTATTTAAAAAGCAAGATCTGTGGACTAGAGTGTCACTGTTCCTAAGCAACATCAATGGACAGAGCTAGAGAATACATGTATTTACCCATATTTTTTTTTGTGTTTATTTATGTTGAATTCACTTCAATATTTCTAATTCCAATTCTACACTACAGTGTTCATTCTAGTTTTCGTTATTCCATGTTGGTAACTCCTTGCTGTGACAGTGAGAAACCTGGCACCCATTGTCCTTGATAACCTTAAAGTGGATCCTTGTGTACATGTATGTATCTGATGAATTTGGCTGTATGTAACAATCTCCCAATACTGCCGCACCATGGAATAGATGCTCTCCACTCAGGCTCTGATGTCCCTTACTGCGCTGCCCCTTCTCCCACATCTGGACACCCTCTTTCCTGTGCTTCCTCTCTGACACACCATGCCAGAACCGTGTCCTGATAGGAAGGAGGGCAGAAATTTTTTACTTTTGTTTGCACCCATATTCCAAACACCTAGAACAATGTCTGGAACATCATGCTCAGTAAGTAACAACTGATTGAATGAACCTATTTCTGATTATTTAGAAATGCAGATCTAAATAATCTATTTAGATCTAAATCTTATTATTTAGTGTATTCCCCCACGATGAGCATTCTAAGATTTTTCTTACTTTTCAAGCCCCTCTGATTCCAGGACAGCGGCTTCTGCATTCCAAGGGTTGGGTCTGAAGTCTACAGAACTGTAGTGCAGAGACTCGCCATGGGAGGGCAGCAGAGAGCCCCAACATAGGTGCAGCCTTAAGTTTCAAGATTCTTGCACCACTCTGACAACAATATATGCAGAAAAATCATGGGTTTATTCATATTGAGATATTCAGAGGTGTACAAAGAATGACTCAAAGTAGGGCAGAGACACTTCAAGAGTGACAGTTCAGATGCAGAGATGGGATATATTCAAGAAGCACCTGGATACCCCAACAACACAGGCTGACTGAAGAAACAGCCAGAGATTAGCAAAAGTTGGCTAAGAGGGAAAGTAATGTTTGTTAATGATTTTGTTTAATGTTTTTGATAAATATCATGCTCCCCTATACCTTTTATTTGGTACAATCAAGTTCCCAAACCAAATTTCTGCTCTTACCTAGGGAATGGATTAAAATATCAATGTTTAATAATTTTTAGAAGAAACTCAATTCCTGTTGCTTAGTGTCATTCCAAGATATAATTTGAAATGCAGAGTGATATTCCAGCTGATACTGAGCTCTTCGGGTAGCACTAATTATTATTAGTATTATTATTATAAGCCCTGAGTGTATTTCTTGCACTTCTGTTTAGTGGACTCATTTAAAAAATCTTTTCTTGAAGTTGCTAAAGGGAATTATTAAAAATTATAATCAGGAATGACAAATGTCATTCATAGACATATTTTTCAGTAAAATCATGTCTATTATGCAAATTATTTTAAAAGTCATTTTAACTTTTAATGAGGTTATAAATTTTCAGTGTTTACAGAGTCGATCATTCTACAAGTTGTGTTATGAAAGACATACCTCCCCCTTTCTCCCCCTTCACAGGAAACCACATTCTACTCTTTTAGCTTAATATTAACATTTTCATATTACTTCCATGTTTTTAAGTATTTGGTTTATATTGCTCCTTGATTTTTCCTCATTAGGGTATTTATATCCCCCTATAGAATTAGGTATTATTTCCTCTTCCCCCGTCTCCATTACACATGGCCCCCTTCCTCAAAGCCCATTCTTGCAATGTAATCGTATTATTTTTTCTTAGATATTCAGTATTTACTTAGTGTTGCTCAGGAGGAGGGGTTCCCCTCTTGTGGAAGTTCACTATGAATTTGTTAGAGCGATAATAACAAAGAATATTGTGGGTATAAAAGAGGCTTATACCAAGCTTTATTCTCACAGCAGTCACCCAGCTATGTACAAGCAGCAAAACCATTTCCTTCGCTGGCCTGGCTACAGCCCCTGCTCCCCAGGCACTGCCGTGCTGCTGGCACTGTCTTCTCTCCCTCCTGCTCGCCAGCTCTGGGCTCAAGGACTTCCCTCTGCCATCCTCCTTTTCTGCCCCTCCTGCTCTTAACACTCAGCAGAACTCTGTGGGTGGGTCTTGACGGTGACCGATGGAAGCCTGACCAATTACGGCCAGGTGCTTGTTTGTTTCCTCTCCACCCCTCCCCTGGTCCATACTTCCAAGACAGAGTTTGCTCTGGGTGGAGCTCTAAGCTTTCTGTCAACAGGTATGCAAGCAGGCTAAGTATTACATCATCACATGTATACAATGGGCGATATTAGAATCAGGTGAGAATCCTGGCCATAAAATTTCCATTTTCCCTACACATAGACATAAATACAATAACTTCTTCTCTTATATAAGATATTAATTTTTTTTCGAGCTAACTGTATGATTCTTAAGTATGTTTAGTTTTCCGTGTATCTGTAGTTAGTTCAACTCCAAAATTCTCGGTCTGATATTAAAATCTCTCCAGCCTCCAGATGCAGCTATAATTGTGTCAATGTCATCTTTCTACAGCAGTTATTCATGAGGATTTCTCACCACCACCATATCTAACGGACTGGTTGTTGTCTATGCCTACTACATAGCTATCTTACTGGGCTCTTTCTTTCAGCATCATTTTGGGATCTTTTCGTTTCTCTCCATGTTCTATATTTATTGTATTTCCTGTGTTTCATAATTTCCTCATTCTTAGTTTATTCCCTCATTTTGTGGGATCAGATTGACAGACTATTCCTGAGAACAGGTATATAAGAGGTGGTTTTGGTGACACTTAGCATATCTGAAATTGTCATTATTCTATTCACACACTTGGTTGACAGTTGCCTGGGTATGGAATATTAAGTTGGAATTAAATTTATTTTAATTGAAATACAGTTGATATACAATATTATACTGGTTTCAAATGTACAACATAGTGATTTGACAGTTATATGTATTACTAAATGCTCATCATGATAGGTGTAATTGATATGTCAACATACAAAGATATTACAATATTATTGACAGTAGTT